CTGCCACGCTCGAGTTTCGAACTCGCGTCTCTCCGGCCAGAGGCGAACGCTCGCTACCTTGTCTTTGTTGGTACTATATTTCTGCCTATAATTTATAAACACAAATTATTTAGGCCGTTAGGCATGAAGATGCTCAACAGCTGCCCGGCAGCATTGCAGGTGCGGTGAAGGTGATTTGTGAAGCATCTGTAGGACGACGGAAAATGCGGATCGACTTATGCAGTCTGTTTCAGGCTTATTCTGTCTTCATTTAGCCTCTCAAACCCCTGACTACCCGCTGGGACTGGAAAAACAAACTTGCGATGTTATTAATACTCGAAGTTCGTCTAAGGCCCCAAGAAGGTCCGAGTACATGAAATCCACCGAAAACGAAGTCAATTACTAGGCTGTTGCAGGTCTTCGTAATGAAACCGGCCCATAGAGACAGATTTGAATTAACTTCCCTTGTTTTCTGCTAGCCTACGACAGCAAACTGACCAAGTTATGATGGAAGTTAATTATGCCAGGTCTTTTCGGGACAGAAAAGCTTTACTCTAAAATTCATCTCGGTTTTCAAAAATGTACGTGGGGTATCAAGGTACAAAACCAATAAAATCGGAGGCAGTTTTTGCAATAGTATAAAGTCATCACATATTTTGTTTAGCAATACAGACTGACAGAAATATGCCCGTTACTCAGGCTGAATTGTTGGAAACTGAAACATGCCTTCTTTCCCCGATTTCAACTCCCGCATAACTAAGAAGAACGGTCTCTCCAGGTCTCAAGTTTCTTGAAAGGTGGCTTTGTTCGATTGACAGATGGTTGGGTTAAGGTGTCCGCATTGTCGGCCAGGCAGTGCTATCTTCTGAAACTCACAACCTTGTGAAAACTCAGTCACAGTTAATCTGTGACACTTAATATAAACAGATGCCTAACTCCGGTTCACCTGAGTATTCAGAAGCAAGTAGAAAGTCAAAGTATTTCTTTTTAGCTTTTAGGCATCTACGTAAATCAAGCGATACTTATCTCATATATGATTTTTTAAAGCAGAGGACTATGAAAGGTCACAATAGTTTTACCCTCATTATCATGAGTTCAAGATAGCTTTTTCAAGTAATGTGCACGGCTCATAATGAATACCTTTAGTTGCATTGAAGTGCAAAATTGAAACCTACACAAAAAAGCGTTTGCAAATCAAAATACATTCCTGTTGTATTGGAGATTGGGTTGTCAGCTCAGTAATGCACATAATAATAGATGTCCGGTCCTGGAGTTCGTGAGTGGCGGAGTTCCAATTGCGATACACTGGAGGCTATGCTGCGTCGCGAGGTTCGTCTGTGTTTTGGCTTACAGACGGCTAATCTGGGACGAACCCTCGGCATCTCACCAAGTACTCCGTGTGATGCTTCCTGTTCTCGCATTTTGCTGTGCTGGCGATGTTTATCCTCGATACGCAATCTCTCCATAGTGACCGTCTCAAGCGACACGTCCGGTTGACTTCGCAAGAAGGCGACAGTTATGTCCAAAATTTTGTCCAGATAGGCAACAAAGGCGTCCTGCTGAGCAATTGATTCGAATGCAAACATGCGGTAGCCCGGAGGGTGTCTGTTATAGTCCGCCATAAGAACTGCCACCGAATTCTCGGCATTGTCCAGTGCGATGTAGCCGAGTATTAAATTGCCTGGGATGGTGCGCGTTCTCTTGGTTGTGATCGTAAAGTGGGTAAGATCACCTTCAACCAGGGCTGGAGCCATCGGTTTTGACCGCACGCGATTGACCAGGTAGTCGTGTACCTCATCCGAATTCGGGGGCTCATGCAGGGCACTGATAAAGCCACAGTAGGCAGCCTTAAAAGCGAAGTATTCATTAGCCATTTTCTGCCTCGGCACGGTTAAATCACATAACTGTCAACCCTTTTGAAGGGTGGTCT